CCAGCAGCTCACTGCGCTCTGGTCCTGGATTAGCCTGGACCAGCTTCCAGCAGCTCTCTGCGCTCTGGTCCTGGTCCTGGATTAGCCTGGACCAGCTTCCAGCAGCTCTCTGCGCTCTGGTCCTGGATTAGCCTGGACCAGCTTCCAGCAGCTCTCTGCGCTCTGGTCCGGGATTAGCCTGGACCAGCTTCCAGCAGCTCTCTGCGCTCTGGTCCTGGATTATCCTGGACCAGCTTCCAGCAGCTCACTGCGCTCTGGTCCTGGATTAGCCTGGACCAGCTTCCAGCAGCTCACTGCTCTCTGGTCCTGGATTAGCCTGGACCAGCTTCCAGCAGCTCTCTGCGCTCTGGTCCTGGTCCTGGATTAGCCTGGACCAGCTTCCAGCAGCTCTCTGCGCTCTGGTCCTGGATTAGCCTGGACCAGCTTCCAGCAGCTCTCTGCGCTCTGGTCCGGGATTAGCCTGGACCAGCTTCCAGCAGCTCTCTGCGCTCTGGTCCTGGATTATCCTGGACCAGCTTCCAGCAGCTCACTGCGCTCTGGTCCTGGATTAGCCTGGACCAGCTTCCAGCAGCTCTCTGCGCTCTGGTCCTGGATTAGCCTGGACCAGCTTCCAGCAGCTCACTGCGCTCTGGTCCTGGATTAGCCTGGACCAGCTTCCAGCAGCTCTCTGCGCTCTGGTCCTGGATTATCCTGGACCAGCTTCCAGCAGCTCACTGCGCTCTGGTCCTGGATTATCCTGGACCAGCTTCCAGCAACTCACTGCGCTCTGGTCCTGGATTAGCCTGGACCAGCTTCCAGCAGCTCTCTGCGCTCTGGTCCTGGTCCTGGATTAGCCTGGACCAGCTTCCAGCAGCTCTCTGCGCTCTGGTCCTGGATTAGCCTGGACCAGCTTCCAGCAGCTCTCTGCGCTCTGGTCCGGGATTAGCCTGGACCAGCTTCCAGCAGCTCTCTGCGCTCTGGTCCTGGATTATCCTGGACCAGCTTCCAGCAGCTCACTGCGCTCTGGTCCTGGATTAGCCTGGACCAGCTTCCAGCAGCTCTCTGCGCTCTGGTCCTGGATTAGCCTGGACCAGCTTCCAGCAGCTCACTGCGCTCTGGTCCTGGATTAGCCTGGACCAGCTTCCAGCAGCTCTCTGCGCTCTGGTCCTGGATTATCCTGGACCAGCTTCCAGCAGCTCACTGCGCTCTGGTCCTGGATTATCCTGGACCAGCTTCCAGCAGCTCACTGCGCTCTGGTCCTGGATTATCCTGGACCAGCTTCCAGCAGCTCACTGCGCTCTGGTCCTGGATTATCCTGGACCAGCTTCCAGCAGCTCTCTGCGCTCTGGTCCTGGATTAGCCTGGACCAGCTTCCAGCAGCTCACTGCACTCTGGTCCTGGATTAGCCTGGACCAGCTTCCAGCAGCTCTCTGCGCTCTGGTCCTGGATTAGCCTGGACCAGCTTCCAGCAGCTCACTGCTCTCTGGTCCTGGATTATCCTGGACCAGCTTCCAGCAGCTCACTGCGCTCTGGTCCTGGATTAGCCTGGACCAGCTTCCAGCAGCTCACTGCGCTCTGGTCCTGGATTATCCTGGACCAGCTTCCAGCAGCTCACTGCGCTCTGGTCCTGGATTATCCTGGACCAGCTTCCAGCAGCTCACTGCGCTCTGGTCCTGGATTAGCCTGGACCAGCTTCCAGCAGCTCACTGCGCTCTGGTCCTGGATTATCCTGGACCAGCTTCCAGCAGCTCTCTGCGCTCTGGTCCTGGATTAGCCTGGACCAGCTTCCAGCAGCTCACTGCGCTCTGGTCCTGGATTAGCCTGGACCAGCTTCCAGCAGCTCACTGCACTCTGGTCCTGGATTATCCTGGACCAGCTTCCAGCAGCTCACTGCGCTCTGGTCCTGGATTAGCCTGGACCAGCTTCCAGCAGCTCTCTGCGCTCTGGTCCTGGATTATCCTGGACCAGCTTCCAGCAGCTCACTGCGCTCTGGTCCTGGATTATCCTGGACCAGCTTCCAGCAGCTCACTGCGCTCTGGTCCTGGATTAGCCTGGACCAGCTTCCAGCAGCTCTCTGCGCTCTGGTCCTGGTCCTGGATTAGCCTGGACCAGCTTCCAGCAGCTCTCTGCGCTCTGGTCCTGGATTAGCCTGGACCAGCTTCCAGCAGCTCTCTGCGCTCTGGTCCGGGATTAGCCTGGACCAGCTTCCAGCAGCTCTCTGCGCTCTGGTCCTGGATTATCCTGGACCAGCTTCCAGCAGCTCACTGCGCTCTGGTCCTGGATTAGCCTGGACCAGCTTCCAGCAGCTCTCTGCGCTCTGGTCCTGGATTAGCCTGGACCAGCTTCCAGCAGCTCACTGCGCTCTGGTCCTGGATTAGCCTGGACCAGCTTCCAGCAGCTCTCTGCGCTCTGGTCCTGGATTATCCTGGACCAGCTTCCAGCAGCTCACTGCGCTCTGGTCCTGGATTATCCTGGACCAGCTTCCAGCAGCTCACTGCGCTCTGGTCCTGGATTATCCTGGACCAGCTTCCAGCAGCTCACTGCGCTCTGGTCCTGGATTATCCTGGACCAGCTTCCAGCAGCTCTCTGCGCTCTGGTCCTGGATTAGCCTGGACCAGCTTCCAGCAGCTCACTGCACTCTGGTCCTGGATTAGCCTGGACCAGCTTCCAGCAGCTCTCTGCGCTCTGGTCCTGGATTAGCCTGGACCAGCTTCCAGCAGCTCACTGCTCTCTGGTCCTGGATTATCCTGGACCAGCTTCCAGCAGCTCACTGCGCTCTGGTCCTGGATTAGCCTGGACCAGCTTCCAGCAGCTCACTGCGCTCTGGTCCTGGATTATCCTGGACCAGCTTCCAGCAGCTCACTGCGCTCTGGTCCTGGATTATCCTGGACCAGCTTCCAGCAGCTCACTGCGCTCTGGTCCTGGATTAGCCTGGACCAGCTTCCAGCAGCTCACTGCGCTCTGGTCCTGGATTATCCTGGACCAGCTTCCAGCAGCTCTCTGCGCTCTGGTCCTGGATTAGCCTGGACCAGCTTCCAGCAGCTCACTGCGCTCTGGTCCTGGATTAGCCTGGACCAGCTTCCAGCAGCTCACTGCACTCTGGTCCTGGATTATCCTGGACCAGCTTCCAGCAGCTCACTGCGCTCTGGTCCTGGATTAGCCTGGACCAGCTTCCAGCAGCTCTCTGCGCTCTGGTCCTGGTCCTGGATTAGCCTGGACCAGCTTCCAGCAGCTCACTGCGCTCTGGTCCTGGATTATCCTGGACCAGCTCCCAGCAGCTCTCTGCGCTCTGGTCCTGGATTAGCCTGGACCAGCTTCCAGCAGCTCACTGCGCTCTGGTCCTGGATTAGCCTGGACCAGCTTCCAGCAGCTCACTGCGCTCTGGTCCTGGATTATCCTGGACCAGCTTCCAGCAGCTCTCTGCACTCTGGTCCTGGATTATCCTGGACCAGCTTCCAGCAGCTCACTGCGCTCTGGTCCTGGATTAGCCTGGACCAGCTTCCAGCAGCTCACTGCACTCTGGTCCTGGATTATCCTGGACCAGCTTCCAGCAGCTCTCTGCGCTCTGGTCCTGGATTAGCCTGGACAAGCTTCCAGCAGCTCACTGCGCTCTGGTCCGGGATTAGCCTGGACCAGCTTCCAGCAGCTCTCTGCGCTCTGGTCCGGGATTAGCCTGGACCAGCTTCCAGCAGCTCACTGCGCTCTGGTCCTGGATTATCCTGGACCAGCTTCCAGCAGCTCTCTGCGCTCTGGTCCTGGATTATCCTGGACCAGCTTCCAGCAGCTCACTGCACTCTGGTCCTGGATTAGCCTGGACCAGCTTCCAGCAGCTCTCTGCGCTCTGGTCCGGGATTAGCCTGGACCAGCTTCCAGCAGCTCTCTGCGCTCTGGTCCTGGATTATTCTGGACCAGCTTCCAGCAGCTCACTGCGCTCTGGTCCTGGATTAGCCTGGACCAGCTTCCAGCAGCTCACTGCGCTCTGGTCCTGGATTATCCTGGACCAGCTTCCAGCAGCTCACTGCGCTCTGGTCCTGGATTAGCCTGGACCAGCTTCCAGCAGCTCACTGCGCTCTGGTCCTGGATTAGCCTGGACCAGCTTCCAGCAGCTCTCTGCACTCTGGTCCTGGATTAGCCTGGACCAGCTTCCAGCAGCTCACTGCGCTCTGGTCCTGGATTAGCCTGGACCAGCTTCCAGCAGCTCACTGCGCTCTGGTCCTGGATTATCCTGGACCAGCTTCCAGCAGCTCACTGCGCTCTGGTCCTGGATTAGCCTGGACCAGCTTCCAGCAGCTCACTGCACTCTGGTCCTGGATTAGCCTGGACCAGCTTCCAGCAGCTCACTGCACTCTGGTCCTGGATTATCCTGGACCAGCTTCCAGCAGCTCACTGCGCTCTGGTCCTGGATTAGCCTGGACCAGCTTCTCCTTGAACCCCGCTCACACTGAGCCTGGTTCTGCTGGAGGTTTCTTCCTGTTCAAAGGGAGTTTTTCCTCTCCACTGTCGCTACAAGCATGCTTAGTGTGAGGGATTGCTGAAGAGTCAGTATTTCCTGTTCCTACTGTAAAGTCAATGCCTTGATGATCTGATTGATCTGGATCTATAAAGTTACCTGATATGTCATGATGTGGTGAGTGGCACTTTATTGAATAAATAAACTAAAATAAAGTTTATTTCCATTTATTGTTCATTTAGTGAACATGGCCGACATAGAAACATTGATCCTCGTTAATCCAGGGAGCAGAAACTGCTCCAAAGCAGAATCTGAATACTTTATGTCTGGAATATTGTTAGTTTGTAATCCAATCATAGCTGTAATCTGAAGGGCTCCATCAGTGGAGCAGCTGCTGTTGCCATGGCGGTTGAAGCTGGTGCCTTAGACAGTATGAAGGCGTAGCGGTGGCATTTAAAAGAAAGTGGCTTCACAGTAAAGGTCCAGGATGAAGAATAAAGCTCAGTTTATTGGCCTTGAAGAATTGAGGAGAGTTCAGATTAAACCTTTGTCATATTCTGGTCCTTTTCAGGTGATCCTGGGTGCGGTGGTACCTTCACTGACAGTGAAGCCATCCTGATTTCTCCCAACTGGCCCAACAACTATGCCCACAACCGACAGTGCATCTATCTGATCACGCTGCCTCCGCAGGAGGAGGTGGCCCTCAACTTCACTCACATGGACCTGGAGAGTCACAGCGGATGCTCCTTCGACTATGTGGAGGTACGGCCCGACGCCAGCCAAAAGAAATACTCAAGTAGAAATACAGACATAGATATTTAGAATTGATTTAGGTGGAATGGGTGGAGTAGTTCCTCCTCTCTGCCAGACTCTCTGACCATAACGGCAGGCAGAGGTTTAAAGGAGACTGGCAAACTCAAAGGAGGCGAGTTGGGAGAGTGAGTGGACAACAGATGATGTCATCCAGGGCAGATGATGTCATCCAGGGCAGATGATGTCATCCAGGGCAGATGATGTCATCCAGGACAGATGATGTCATCCAGGGCAGATGATGTCATCCAGGGCAGATAATGTCATCCAGGACAGATGATGTCATCCAGGACAGATGATGTCATCCAGGGCAGATGATGTCATCCAGGGCAGATGATGTCATCCAGGACAGATGATGTCATCCAGGGCAGATGATGTCATCCAGGACAGATGATGTCATCCACGCCAGATGATGTCATCCAGGACAGATGATGTCATCCAGGACAGATGATGTCATCCAGGGCAGATGATGTCATCCAGGACAGATGATGTCATCCAGGACATGTTACTGAGTAGATTCATCACTGCAGTCCAGATATTGAACTGTTTTCAGTTTCCATTCATTTTATTTACCCAGATAGTTCAGCAGTGTTCTGTTAGTTACCGCCTATATTCCACCTTCTGCTGTTGCCAACTCTGCATGTGATGTCATCAAATCTGTTGTTGCTAAGCTTCAGACACAACAGCCAAATGCATTTGTAGCAATAACTGGTGATCTGAATCACGTCTCTCTGCCACACTGCCAATGTTCCAACAGTTAGTCAGCTGCTGAATCAGAGAAAACAAAATGTTATCTTGTTTTATGCAAATGTGAATGACTCCTACGTCTCTGAAGGAAGACATCCTCCTGGAAATCAGATGACAATCTTGTTTTTCTCTGCTGAGAGTAAAAGCCACTTTATAAGAGACACCCTGCATTTAACGAACCATAAGAAGATGGTCGCAGGAGGCTGAGGAAACCCTGTGGAAACAATCATCTGGTTGAAAACTATTGATGGATGTCAGTTTATATCCACCATATGTTGAATGTGGCTACGTTCACACTACAGCCTGCAGGGACCCTAATCCCATTTTTTTGCCCATATGTGACCTGCATCTGATCTTTCATGGCAGTCTGAACACAGATCCGATTTTTCCCAATGCGACCCAGGCCACTTGGCTCTGTGGTCCTGAATCTGATATGAATCTGATCTTTTTAAATGCGACCTGTGTCTGAACGGCCAGATCACATTCATCCGACCTGAACGTCATTACTACCCGACAAAGGTCACTATTCTGCGTCTTGCTACGCAGAAGCGGCAAGAAAAAGAACAACCATGACAGATGATGATGCGGAGAGCAGTATTTATGTTTAACCATATTGGAAAGATTGAGTGTTTATGGTTGGGAAAGACCGGCGCTACCATCCATGTTTACTTCTGGAAACACAGAGTACGCTGGCCTGTGATGTCATCGCGTCCTCCACTGTGCACACTTGCGTTGTATGACTGCAGTTCACACAGGAGATCACATGAAAGTCGCATGTATTTGGAAATATAAACAGCAACGCAAGAAAAATTTGATTTCACAAAAAAATTGGGCATCAAGGCCTGCAGGGTGAACAGGGCCTATAAGACTGTCATTAGAACTGATTGAGGAACACCCACTGCCTCCTCCATTCACTGACAACCACTGAGAACCTGCTGTAGTGACACATGGACACCACCACATCTGACCCCCCACCACCCACTGCCTCCTCCATTCACTGACAACCACTGAGAACCTGCTGTAGTGACACATGGACACCACCACATCTGACCCCCCACCACCCACTGCCTCCTCCATTCACTGACA